GTTTTGAAGAGTGCCTTCAGGCTGCTCTCAAGACAGGATTCACAGAGTACCCTCTAGTAAAATGCAAGGCTTGCCCCCAGATGCCAGTAACTTACTGTGGCTCCTGGTGACTTTTGTGCACCATCAAGCGTGTTCAGACAAGCTGTCTCTTGGCTGCTTGCCACCTGGGAGGGAGGCAGCGAGGGGAGCCGAGCGTTCGCGTTGCCCTGCGAGCTCTCCTTTCAAACTGCATACGCCTACCGTAAGGGGTCTGCCATAAGGGGTCTGCGTGGGCATGGAGCTCGGCACACACGTATCGGCTTCTGCAGGGCAACAGATTCTTTTGCTCCGTGTACATGGAAAGGACTTGGGTTTGTGTTCTAGCATGTGGAAAAAATACACTGTTTATTGCATTAATTTTGTTCCTTCCCTAGTTTGTTAGGACAGATATGGTCATTTTTAACTTGGGAGATCTCAGCAATCTTTTCTTTAAAGTTCTGGAAAAGTGGTTATTTTCCTGTAGATTCAGCTCTACCATTGAGCTAAGAGTACAAGAGCACTTAAGTACCTTTGTTTTAAATAATAGTTTGTTTTGCAAATGTAATCTGTGGATCTGTGTTATTGTGTCTGCCAGCACCATTTGTCATGTGCTGGCTGCTGTGGAGTCAGAACTGGACAGAACAGCCACCCTCCCTCCCCAAAAGAAAACAAGTTCTCACCACAGAGAGCTTCCAGTCCAAGTTAAGTGACAATTGTTGGGAAGCATGAAGAGAGACGCAGCATTCATCAACTGTTAGGTGGGCTTTTCAGCAGGGAAAGGAGAATTTAAGTGCTCTGAAACTGTATGAAGAGTTGTATTTACTGAGGCATATGGATGACATATGAATATTGAGATTGTATGGAAAACTATTGGAAGAGGCTCTGTTTCAAAATCTAATGATATTGCTGATACCTAGTGGATACTATCAGCTGATTTGGAGGTAGGGTTTGGTGTCTTGATGGACTTCTAAAATCTGGGAATGATGAGGTGGATTTAATTTGGCAAAGACGTGATGAGACAGTAGAGATATTGTCAAAGAAACGGTGTGGGGAAAAGGTCTGAATGCAGAGGGTGGTGTGAGTTAGCATTAGCTAATACCAGGGTAATGAGAAGTAAGAACCAGGACAAGTATTTTAGCAAAAAATTACTTTATCTGTAGGTAGAATCTTTTCCAGATGAATGCCATCAAGTCCTGAAAGAGATTTAAGAGAATCAGTGAAAAGGGTCAGAGCAGTTGGGTTGTGATAAAGCTGGTGTTTCATCTTGCTTTTCTACAAGCTGCTTGGACTCAGTACTACAGGACGTTAACCCTGGGTGCTGGCAGCCCCCCAGCCGTTTAGTTTTGCATAGTCAATCCGGAGTTTAGAGCTGGCCTTATCTAGCTAAAATTATATCAGGTGCTGATTTAACAAGAGAATATGTTATTATTGACCAAACGTTGACATCTTTCCCTGCTTTTAACAAACCTTGAAAGGGAGCAATTGTGGCTCGTATTGACATTTTAATGGAAATATGTATTTCTGTGTGGTAACAGGAAATAACAGACCCATGCAAGCAAATATTCTTGTCTTCTTACCCTATGTGTAGCTGAGAGTTGGAGGCAGCACTAGAGGGAAACAACAGAGCTGGCCACCTGAAGATGGCTCATGACAAAGAGCGATTAACTTTGCCGAGTGACTGAGATATTTATCCTCAGCTCTGCTTTTGTTTGCTCCTGCCCTGTGGTCTGCTGTCTCCCCATGCTGAAGCTCTTGTTCTAGGTGTGTCTTCCTTAAGGAACAGATGCAGTCTGGGTGGATGGTAAGCCAGGACTGTGATGGCGTGAAGGAGAGAGATGAACTCTTTCCTTCTCCCTCTACCCGTAGGAAATAAAAGTTATCTTCCCCCTCACCCCCTGCAATATCAGCAACTTCAGAAGTCTTTCCTGAGGCAGTCTGTGTTTCTTTTCAATAAAAAGGTCATGGGCACGTATGTAATTGCTGGCAGCCTCTCCAATTTCTTCTCTCTCTTTTGTATCCTGAAGGAGCACACTATAACGCATTGCTGAAACAGCACTAATGTTCATTACTCTTGAAAGAAGGATGGGCTAAGAGTCAAGCATTATCTTGCCATGTTACTTTTTTTTTAAGCCATCCAGGTGATGCTTATGCTACCATGTTACTGGAAACCTGGATCATTTGCTCCCTGAAATGCTTGGTAAATCAGTGCAGTAACCCAGAAAGCTTTCCTTGTCTGCCCCCTGCCACCCTCCTCGCTGACCTGTGTTGTTCGGGAGCACTGGGAAGGGAGGAGGCTGCAATCCGCAGGAAGCTTGCTGCTGGCAGTGTCCTTCCAGGCAGTGCGAAGTCCCACTGTGCTTGGGGATTTCTCTCTAGTGAGCACTGGAAAGGGTCTGACAAGCCAAAACCTGCCTGGTTCTGGATGCTGCTGAGGTGTGTTAGCATTTCAAAGGTGTATGCAGAAGTCTTCCTATTCAGCTAGGTAAGATCCTTGCAGGGGACAGCTGGAGGTATTTTTACGGACCGCATTCCATACCAAGTGTCTTTCATTGTTAATTTCCAGCTCTTGCTGAAGCACGGAGTGGTGGGAGTACTTCTACAGGGTGGCTAGGATATCTCCCATTTTTTGTGAAGGAGGGATTAGTTTGGCTACTAACAGAGCAGTGTCCATCCTCACTGGGCTGCAAAAAGTCTGTCTTGGTGGATGACATCCATCTTTTCTGTGGTCTGGAGGATAAGCAAAGTAGTCATTATTCAGGTAGGTAAATATGATCTAGAGGAGATGATAGATAATTATAGGTGGATATGATCTAGGAGAGAGAGAGAGTTTTTTGGTGTCATAAGACACACTGATGTAAATATAAACCACACAGTAGTATCTCTGAAACCTCCCATGGGAGCTTAAAAGCCCCAAAGACTCCCTTTATCATAACAGCTTGCCAGATTCTGGAGACTTCCCCATTAACAGCAATACAGTCAGAGAAGGTAAAGCCTGTTAGCTGCACTGCAAAAGTAAAAAAGGATTTTGCATTTTCTCTGACACAGAAAGAGGTCCTGCAACAGAAAAATTGAGCAGCAGCTGTGTTCAAGTTCAGTTCCATCGCAGTCTTGTAACCATAACAAAAGCAAAATCCAGGAAGGGGTATGTATGGAGTTTACCAAGAAATAAAGGACTTAAAAGTTAGGAAATGCCTCTACTAACATTATTAAGGTTATAATTTTTATATGTTTTGCCCTCCTCACCCGTGAGAGGCCATGCCAGAACGATGGGATTTGGTTTTGCATTGCCTCCAGCCAACCTACAGAATTGGTCTGAACAAGGAAAGAAAGAGACTTGCAAGCAGAAGAGCTGCAGCTCGTCTTAGGAGAGAGGTCCTTGGAGTTGGTTTGGGAAATGAGGCTCTGTAGCAGCTCTCTGGGTATCAGGAAGGAGTTGCAGATGCCTGTCGTACTGAAATGAGATGGGAAGACGGCAGGTAAGAACAACAGCCAGGCAGACTGCTGCAGACCCCTTATGTGCTTTTTTCCCATTTTAAAAGAAGAAATGCTCTTGGTTTTGAGAAATTTGTGCCTGAAGGGGAAATCCAGGAGTTCCCAAAAATCTCGGAGGGTTTTCAGTGCTTTTAAAGCAAAATCAGAACACTCCATGCAAGGCCTTAGCAAATGGAGAATAGAAAGGAGACATTTTAACTGGAAATCCTTCTCCTGTGAAGGTCTCTGGAGTAGCCAGTAGAAACCCTGCCTCACCTCCAGAATCTCTGCATGGTTCACCTCTTCTGCTTCCTTCCCCAGAAGCAGGGCTCTGCAGGGTTCAGCTCTGGCCATGATGTAGTCTAGTGATTCCTCCTTCTCTCCCTTTCGTGCCGTCTGCTGAAGAATTGACTATTTGGAGAGGGATCTCTGCCTCTTTCCCGTAGTGGTAGAAGTAGTCCAGGACTAACCCTGATCAGGCCTTTGAGTTCCCCGACATCTGCTCACAATGAAACTGAAATTTAGTTCACTTCCCATTTTCAGTTTTGTTTACTGGTTTTCTGTGGGCAGATTTTTCTACTTTTCTACAGAAAGTGGCTTCAATTTGTAATAAAACCTGTTGTAATTCTTTACTGCTTTCCATCAGTCGGTGTTGTTAATGAATTACCCTTCATCATCTTCCTTTGACTTGAGGTGTTTCCATCCCTAGCTTGCAGATGTAGGTATTGTAGTACTTGGACAGATCACTTATCTCTTACAAATATTTGGATGTTTTTAAAAATACCAAGGGGAAAAGGACAACTTTTTGGCCTTTGCTTTAATTTTGCGCCAAGGAATTGCTGTAATTTAGGCTCAAAGTTTTCAGTGAAGACTCTGGCATTTCAGGTGAATGGATTTTCAAAAGGTGCTGTAGCTGAAGGACCCTTTGCCTGCTCGAGCTGCTTAAGCCCATTTCCCGTGAGAGACTTTCAAGGGCTGATCTGTAGCTGGTGGAAACTGGCAGTTCTCATTCCTTCCCCTGCTCCCCACCCTTTGCTTCTAAGCCAAGCAGGAGTAAAAGGGCAGTTTTTATTTTGGCTTTACATTGTGTTTTGGGTTTCTATTCAGGTCTGTCAAACGTTGCACCACGGTATCTGGACAAAGTTCTTTTGCGTCCAGGGGAAGTTGGGACCATTAATTATGAGTAGCGCTAAAAGTAGCGCAGTTACCCGGGAACATTAGTGCAAAAATCGGATACTTGCATGAAGGGGAAGTTGCCTCGGGATCCATGCATTTTAAAATCCCTACGTGTGCCAAGAGGGTTGTTGAGGCTGCTCTCTGTGTGAATGCTGGAACTGAGAAATTTTGGAGAGAAAACGATTAAACTACTGCCATAGTTCTAAACGTGCATTTCTATGGTATGGTTTGCATTTGTTTTTTTTTTTTGCCTCTAGTTGTGTTTCCTTATTCTGCTGTCATTAGTCCACACCTCATTATAGGCTCCTAGAGACTACATCCCTCTTGCTTGTTAGGATGGTGTAGGTGGTAATTTGCAGTGGTACAAAGTGCTGAAGGAGAGAGATAATCAGCTGGGTAAGTCATTACTCTCTGCAGAGACCGACTTGCTGGCTTGCTGAGCACAGCTTACTTACCCCACATTGTTTAGGACCTAGAATGTTGTAGTAATTGAAAATGTAATAGAAAAACTTTAATTGCTTGCCTAGAAAAGAAAAAAGGTATGGCTGAACAATGAATATATGGGATATATTGTCGTACCCTAGTAAAAGCTGTAAGGTAAAGGTCCTGGACGCTGTAGTGAATCTGGCAGAGCACAATTCAACACAGTAGCCTGCACTAAACAGCCTTATGCGGTGCTGCATTGCCTCTGATTTTCTTTCTCAAGTATCTCACCGGGAATTCATGTCAAGGCACCGACAGTTCTTTTGCCATGATCTGGCATAGCTCTGGTTACCACGTGGCACTTCTTAGTACTTCGTGGTGAGTTTGTAACATTGGGTTCTTCTTTCCTAAGCAGTGTTTTCTCTGTCTCATATTTTTTTCCCAGCTATCCATTGCAATCTGAATCCAAATGGTATTGATCACCCTGTCTCCACAGAAGGTATTAATCTGCAACTTGAAGGTGAGGGAGTTGAATCGCCCTCTGTTAAGAACACTAGTACTCCAAAAGGGCCTGAGTCAAAAGAGACACCCAAGAGACAACAAGTGGAGCCAGAAATATCTAAGGTAGGTAGGTCTGGGTTCTTATTTATTTTGGTGAGTTTTAAAGGATCCAGGCTTCTTGAAGTCCTGGCTACTGCTTGAAAAGCATTTATCATCCTGTTAAAGGTGCAAAAGTAACAGTCTGAGGAAGTGGGTGTTACAGAAGCAAGGTATTGCTGTGGAGTTTTAGCCCACTGATGTCTCGATCGATGCATTATTTTATTTTCCTCTAGATGAAGATCATTAAAATAGTGGTATCTCTTTTTTTCAGGCACTGTTGAGACTTTTTTCCCCAAATGACTTGGGTAACAAGCAGAATAGGAATAGATATGTTTTTCTTCAGTGTTTTTTGTTTGGTTACTTATTTTTTGCTGGGATGGGGAAAAGAAGAGAAATATATCATATTCTATGGATATATGAATATATGGATATTTGTATGGGTGACTGAGTGTAATAAACTGTTAGCTAATTTTAGGTAAAATACCAGGTCATTTCTTCATGTCTGGTATGTCAGTGAATAAACATACTTCAGAGGTGAATTCCTAAAGACAAAATGAAGTGTCTGTTCTCATTCATAAGTTGCTGTTTCTTTGTGTGCAGCAGACATGATGACCAAGTACAGGTGAATGTGTGTGCTCTGGATGCTTTGGGTATAGGACAATAGTTTGCAGTATTTTTCATTCTAGTTAAAACCATATCTAACAAGAGAATGTTAAAAAAAAGTAAATAAACTGGGAGAGATTCTTTGAAAGCCTTATCAGTCTTTTTGATCTTTAAAGGCCTAAAACCAGGGGTTTGGAGGTGATATGTGCAGAGTGGAAAGTTGAGTTTTTACTGAATCTGACACTTTGAGAGTTAATAGAGCAAACAAAATGAGTGTCTTTTTTTAAGGGTCAAAAAAAGGCAATAGCAATTAATTCAATGACTGAACAAATAAGAGTATTTCCTACTGTCATCAGTACAATAAAGCTAACAAATAATATGCATACAGTTGTCATGTACTTCACTCTTACAATAAAATAGCATTAAATATTTCGAGCAGTAGCCGTGGCAATAAAGGCTTGGTATGAATTCTCCATTCTGATTTTCATCTAAAATATCTAGTTTTAAATGAGTACAATTTAAACTCATTTCATTCTGTCTTAACTCGCTGCACTAGATCCAGTGTAGGCTGGCATTGATCAGAATCACTGCTACTTGCAGTCTGTTTTGGGGCCAATTATCAAGCACGTTGCTGATTTCTCTTGAACTCTTTGAGAATGGGTTTGTGCTTATTGCTTTGAATCATCCATTTGGTAACAAGGCCACCAAATTTTGGATGGGCTTTGAGACAAAGCTCAGCTAATAATGATTTACCCAGCTTTTTGAAGACAAAGACAAGCTAACCCTGTCCATGTTTCAACATCACCAGATGAAAATCTGCCCTATATTAAAAGCGAAGGAGGTGTGTTAAGCTCAGAGGAGATCTTACAAGCTTGGAAGTTAAGTGACGCAATGGGGCTTCCACTTGAGAATGGGTTCATGTGTAGTTAACGTGGAACACAGATCAAGCTTGTCTTTGCTTGCAAAAGACTCATCCTAGTGGAAAATCAGGGTGAAATATATCAGTAATTTAATGTAATGGAACCAGTTTCCACTGTCTGATCTGTACCTGTTGGACGGATGAACAGGAAACAGCTTCCAAAGCTGCCTTCACTGGAGATAGGTGGAGAGGAGAGGAAGCGTAGTGCTCTCAAAGTGATGAAATCAGCTGCTGGTTTCCTACATCTGATTGTACTAGCTTTATTTAGAAAGTTTGGCATGCTTCAGATTTTAAAAACAAACCACCAAACAAAACTAAACATTTTGCTTGATGGAATAGCTTGGCGTAGTAGTATCAAGCTAATCAAGTGGACTGTGTTTCTGAATGTATTGCTGCCTTGTTAGTAACTTTGTTTTTTACATGTGGTATTAACTTAGTGCTGGTTTTCATCTGGATTCATATGTTATAGCCTGAGGTGGCCTGCTTTTTCTGGCTTGTCCTGCCTTACATTTAAAAATTGTGTTGCTTTATCCTCTAGAATATGAGTATAGAGATGGGTTTGTAACTTGTGTGGCTTTAGGGGTTGAATTAAGCTGTCATTATGAAACTTTATCCATGCAATTATATCTGTACAGTGGAAAGATGAGCAGGAATAGAGGAAAGTATCGTACATAAAACATTGTGGGCAGATGCATTTGTTTTATATTTTGTCATTGCTAGTTTGTTTTTTTTTAAAAAGGTTTCTTTGCAATCCTATGTATTCAAACAAAATTAACAGGTACCTCATGTCCACAGCAGTAAGACTTACGTTGCGCAAAGCCATGCAATGCATTGAATGCAATTTAAGATGCCTTATAGACTATCTTCTCTGCTTGCAGCTTTCTAATTTGTCTTCATTGGGACCAATTCCAGCACTTTAAACCCCTGGCTGCTTTAAGGTTTTGCTGTCCAAAGAAACAAACAGAATCTCTTTTCTAATAAAATGCGTCCTCCTTTTCCTGTGCTCAGCTGTGGACTTGTAGAACAGTAGTAACTCATGGGCTGCACACAGATTTGAAGTTCCTTTTCTTGCAGCTACAGTAATGTAAATAGGGGAGTACAAGTGTTTGTTTCTATATTTGGGATGCAGACAGCAGAAAGTGTAGCATGAGGGAAGGATCACACATTTAGAAGTTCTCGATGAGTATGGAATCTAATTTTTATAGGCTGACTGAGGTAGGGTTTTAGTGGAAAACGGAACAATGATCTTAGTCTCCCTCAGCTGGTTCCCTGAGGAACCACCTTGTTACAAATGTGTGCAAGTCCAGAAAAGGCCAAGATTATTCATATCTAAACTGATGTGCACAATCCAGTGAGACTCTGGTAACGTACACGATATAATACAAATTAAGGAAATTATACGAAGTGTAAAAGTACTTAGCAGCTTTTTTTGTTTTATGTATTTTAAAATGTGTATTTATGTATATAAATATACACACTTTCTTGGTCAGTAATTGATTCTTCAGTATTCATGGTATATAAAAAAAATCATGCAGTGGAGTGGACACTTCTACAGAGCAGAAAATTTCACTGGAGAAAGCAAGGATGGTTTTTAATATATGTACTTTATATGTATTATTTTTTTAACACATTCTACATCTAACCTTTGTTGTGTGTGTTTTCTGGAATTCTTATCTTTTTTCATTAAAATGCTACTTCTAGCTCTTATGTCTGGTCTGTTTGGTTTTAATATCGTAGTTATCTCTAGATAAACAGAAGGGGTCAGGACATTTGGAGTTACAGACTAGAGTTCTGTTAAAAAAAAATTTAAAGTTTTACTATGCTTTTGAAGTTCTGTACTTCTCTGAGGATAGGCTTGAACAGAAGACAACTTTCCTGACAAGATCCAGAAAATCATCTCTTACAGAAGTATTCACTTTTATCAAGGCTTCCCACGTGTTGCACTCATAAAACCCTGTTCATTGTGAGCGTGAGACCCAAATCTGGTCTGTCACTTGTTACAAGAAGATTATTTATTCAGGGAGTTTTGATTCTCGAGTAAGGTGTGCATATCTAGTGACACACTTTGTCTCATTATGTGGTAGTAGCAGTAGCTATACTAACAAAGCCATAATAAAGGCTTTCTAATGGCAACCACTACAGTTAGACCTTTTATCTTGTGTTAGCAATGGCAGGTTTTTTATCTGGCTTGGAGACAAATTAACAGTCCTTTAAAATGTTCGTGAAAACTATGAAAAGAAACTAGTAAATGAAGTGAGATGGTTTTTTATCTTGCCTTATGTTGAGAAGTGCTAGATAGACACCAGTAGACTATACTTTTTGTTGTAGTGTAGCTCATTAATTCTTTTGGTTGCTTTTGCTTGCTTTAAGAAATACTTTTCTCAAAATGATACTGAGCAACACTGAAGGGCTGACTGAACTCAGTAACAAGAGGATGAGAATTGATCTCAGCTTACTGGGCCCGGTTCAGGACTGATGGGGTGGGAGCAGCTTCTCTGGGGAGTTCTGCTCTGCTTGGGAAGTATTTGGGGTTTGTGTTGAGTGTGCGATGAAATGCCCACGCACAAAAGGGTGAGGTGTCTGAGTAATAAGGGTGTTATAAAATTCTTCTTAGAAATATAAGTGTTTTCTCAGTTATTCTGGTCTCTAACGAGAAAAGACAAAGTAGTTTTCTAGAAGAATTCTCCAGGTTTTTTAATCGGTACATTCTGCTTCACAGTGTTTAACCTTTTTGGTCAAGCTTATAAAGTGGGTTGGATGAGAGAGTGTTTGCCAAGCAGTGGTCCTGGTGATGAGTATGATGGAACATATGCATTCTTCAGCATAGCTGCTTGGTATGCTAAGACCCTCTCCCCTCTCCTTTTTTTTTTTTTTTTCTTTTTTTTTGCAATTGGTTGAGAAACACCAGTGGCCACTTGAACTGGGGCAATAAGCTTCTACCATTTTGCTTTGTCTTCCAGTTATCCCCCTCTTGTGAAACTACGGGTCGCCACAGGTTGTGTGAACAAGAACCCAGACTGGGCTGGCTGAAGCTAACAAATGTTTCTCCCATTGAAGCGAAGGTTCAGCGTAACCCCCGCTGGGCTATTCCACCCCTCCATGTTTTGCTTTAAAATTGCGTGGCAGGGCGGGAGGGGGTTTGAATTGCAGACCTCTGCACGGATCCCAGTGGAGGTGCAGAGCCTGGATGGTGAAATGGTACTTTACCGACAGAAAGCTTGCTTTTCTTTTTGTGGAGAAGTAGTTAACAGATTACCAGTGTCCACATCAGATCACCAGAATGAAAGCTGATAGAAACAGTGCGAGTGTGTGGTTTTTTTAAAAAATTTTTTTTCTTTTAAATTCTTTTTTTCTCTCCCCACTCTTTGACTACAACAGCGACAAAACTCCACTTACTGCATTGGGTCTTTTCTATGACTAGCAAAAGTAGGTACAGAATCTGAGTGTACAGCATGTGGGAAGTGGATTTAAAAATATTTGGTAAATGTTAATATCAAAAAGC